CAGTCGAAATGTCAAAATTATCTTGCATTTTTACAAAAAATATATTAATTAAAATCATGGTGATTCCTTGATGGGTTATTGTGTTGTTTATTATTTCAGAAAAAAAATATCCTGCTCTACATGTTTCGGCTGCGGGCTGCAGCCATAATTCATGAGCTTTCTCGGCGGTGGCCGAGAGAAGACTTTTTTCTGAAACAATAAACAACACACAAAAACCCATCGAGGAAAAGCCGATTTTAAATTCAAATCACCATGAATCAACCCTCGAGTGTGAAATTCTACCACAGAATTGAAATCACTTCGACTAATGATTCTTTAATTTAACCGCCCTTTTATTTACATAAACCAATTTTAAAATACTTTGAATTTGTAGAACAAAAGTAGTTTAAAAATAAAAAAATTTTAACAAATTTTTCTGATGTTTCAAATTTCAAATTTTTCAAATACTAAATTTTAATTAAATGAGTAATATTTGACCAATCGCCTTTTACGTGGAATTACGAACTGAGACGCGAGTAATTTGAGACAAAACCAATATTTGGAAATTTCTGTTGTTATAATGATAATAAAAAATATTAATTGAGGTCGGAAATTTCCCAGCATTAACATTCCTGAAAACAACCCCAATTTTTCCGTATATTATTTGTGCAGTTTCTTGTAAATTTAAAAAAAAAATCAATCCAAGATTAATTAGAATCGATTATTAACCGTTCCACTGTGTCTTTTTTCCTGAAATTCTTCCCTTTCTGCAATTTATATATTCTCTTTGTAAGTTGCAAAATAGCAGCCCTTGTTTGTGCGAATTTCAAAAGCGAAACAGGAAGATGCGCAAGAAAGAAAAGTGGCTCCCTTTGGCGGCCCCTTGTCGGCGTTTTGTTGTTGGTCCAGGGAGAGTGCAGTGCACACAGGATGCAGCGAGGAGTTTGTCTTGGGGAGGAAGGAACCGGTCGTCCCTCTTGTCTCTTCCTGCCGCTCTGCAATTAATGGCCGCCGAGAGCGCCGAGCAAAAGTTTTATTGTGTGGCGCCTTAATTTGCAAAAAGGAAGCCGCCGCCGACGAGAGCTACTTTTTGCAGCCCAAGCGCCGTAATTACTCAGCCGCCGCCGCCGTTCAAGTGCATTTCTGCGAACTTTGCTCGTTAGTCACGCCGCTAAATGAAGACAAATGGCACCTCAAGACATTACTGTAATTTACGTAATCACCCGACCGACCGGCCAGCGCCACGAAATAATTACACAAAGTTGGGCCCGGTCATCTCTGGCATCAGCCCCGGCGGTGATACGAGCGAGAGTTATGCAGCCTGCTTGACTTTGCTCTCCGAACGACGCCGCGCTTATCAATTTTGCACACCGACTCCGGAGCTCTCGTCCGGCCTCTCGCAGAGGTAATTGCGCGCCACCGGTGCACACACGATCTGACCGCTTTCGTTGCATCACCATCGGATTGAATTATTCAAAGTGACTGCAGCACAACCGCACATGTTTAAAAACTGGTTGCATAAATTTAATAGTTTTTCACTCTCACGTGAAAAACTTTTTAATATCAAAGCATCCTCCAAATATATTCAATTTTATGCACAATTTTTGTTTCTTAAACAATTCAATAATCCAAATTTGATCAAATTTACTTTTTACATTTTCATGGATTAGTCAATGTGTTCGAAAACAAGTATTTTATTACAACTTGATTCTCTTTGATATTCATTCTTTGGGAATTTTGTTGTTTAAATATTTAAAAAATTGATGCTTTTGGACGATTAACTTTAATTTCTTCAAAATGTTGCTTTTTTAGTTTTTAATTACAAAACTTTAGAAAGAAAATAGAATGTCAGGGGAGTTTTACTCTCTTGGATTAAAATTTGAAATACTCGTTTGATGTAAATCAATGATAAAAGAAAAAAAAATGAGATTTTTACTTAAATTTTGGCCTAAAAGGTCTGAAAAGTTTAAAAGCAAGATCTTTTCGTCTATGTTTAGTTGAAGTAAGATTGTATTTCTACCAACTGCAAGTTGAATTGGAACATTTGGAACTCTATTATTTGAAGGTGCGCCACAGCTCGAGTCAAAACTATGCACCCAATTTTCTTCCAGGCGGGGACTTCTCGGAACGTATTGCTTTGATTCTATTTCATTTCCTGGGCTAGATGAGAGGCGTTTACCTCCGGCGGGGTCATCTGCAGAGTGACAAGTCATTAATATTGTGGCCGCGCGTCCTGAACTATAACCGCACGCACGCAACCTGTCATACACACTGCCACTCCAAATACACTTTCGCCGCAGAGCCACCCCGGCGCCACACTTTTTTCCATCTCGCGCGCGGCCATAAGCCTTCCACTGTTTTTGAAAGGTCGCCACGCCAAAGGTGTTTAATCTCTCCTTTATCTCGTCAGAAACTTTTATGAAAATTCACATGGTCTTTGAAACTTTTCCAAATATGAAATAGCAGTTCAAATGAACAGAAGTTTCTCTTCATCAGTTGCGAAATTATCCAAATATTTTCATTCATGTATATATTTCATTATTTGACTTAAAAATTAATATTCATCCAAGTCGCAAAACAATCATTGTTTTCAACTGTAGTTTGATTGTCTTATTAATGGAAAGCTTGATTTTTTTTACATATTTCCATCAAAATTTGCAATGGTGCAATAAATTTCAAACAAAATTTTGTTGGAAATAGTAATTTTTAGCAATGTAATGACTCTTAAATTAATTAAATATATAATAAATATTTAATCTATTATAATTTTATGTAATAATCGTAATAATATATGGGCTTAAAAGAAATCAACAGAAAAAAAATTAATTTTACAGTTTAATTTTATAACAGCTTTTAATAGTTTCATCTTTTTTTTTTAAACGAGTTGTTGGTTTTATGTTAATTTTTTTGTCATCTGGAGGCAAATTCCTCTAAACTTGCAACACCGTCAGGCGGCCCTTTGGAACTTGTGAAATAGTTTCTGGTCCTCTCGAGGGCTCTTATTATCAAAACACGCACGCGGCGTTCATTCCTTGCAAGTTACACACATTATTCCGGATTAATCAAAGCGCGAGGAAATTCCTGGCGCCGGTGGCCGAGAGGTCCTTTGTCTCGCCCGCCTCCTTGTCCTTTATTTTAATGTACAATCTCAACCCTTCTGCATTCCAGCCGAGCAAATTCGTTTGACAAAATAATAGCGCGTGCTGCACGTTTTTCGCTCTCTCCGCCTAATTGAGCCGCGAGACGAGTGCGCATGAGTCTCTCTCTTCGTGTGTTTCCAGCGAGAGAGTCTAAAAAATCCTTTTTTAATGCACTGCAACAGGTTATAAAATTATTTTCGCCACCTGCACCTACACGACTCGGCCAGCTTTGACGCGACCCTCTGTTCTATGTCATGAAACTAACTACCCCTCTTTCACATTTTTCAACCCTTTGATGTCCTCGCCGTGTGGGAAAAAACGGTGTAAAAAGGCTTGATCTTGTTTTCTTAACGTGGTGGAACTTGATTTGGTGCGGCTCGTGAAAATTAGGGGGATTAACCGAAACCAGTTATCTAAGCATAAAGAAACGATTAAAGAAGTTCCAAACAAATTTTTTCTCATCGATTCTACAAGATTTTACAATATAAGTTTTCAACTCTCCATACTAATTAATTTCTTATTAATTTCATGGATGAATTATTTTGTTCTGGAGATCTGAATAGCCACTCAAGTTCGCCATGATGCATTTTGTGGAGAATCGATCGAGCAGTTTGGCGTCTTTTCTTACGCCGACGCCAAGATGCTTCGGCAAACTCCACCCTCGACCAAAAGGGAAGGGAGCGATGCGACTGGGGTAGGGACAAGGAGGGAGCACAAGACGCGCTTCAACCCCTCAAGCAAGTCGGTGGAAAATTATAACGCTTAGGAAAACTATCTGGAACTCAATCGATGAGACAGCAAAGAAATAGAGAAATATTTGAATGGCTTATTTCTGATTAAATCTGTTAAATTGAGTTGCCTGTAATTAATTTCATTAAAATGTTTTGGGCTATAAATAAATAAAAGAAATTTAACATTCATCGCAGAGTAAACATAATAGTTGGTAAAAACTCGGTCATGAGTTTCATTGAGTTGTTCTCTACCACTGTGTACCTATTTTCCTCCTTATCAATGTCTCACTCTGACTTTTTTGTAAAAAAAATTAATTATTTATTCAAACTTTTTATTTATAAATTTATTTAATATTAAATAGTACTATAATTTTAAACAAAATTTTTAGCTCTCTCCCTAAAAATTCTAAAACCCTTAAATTGTTTCTAATGAATTGATGCAAATTTAATTAATTTAAAAAAGGTTTATTTTTAAAAAATACTAACAATTAAATTGAAATAAAATACAAAAAAGTCACAGAAAAAAATATATAAATTAAAAATATAAAACATTTTTATATAATAAAACGTTCTTTCTTTATTATTTCTGAATTATTGGGTTTTACTAGCATTTTTCCAAATTTGAAGATGATAATTTTGAATCAATCCGACTGAAGTTTTGCCAGGAATTATTTTGTGCCAGCAGCTCTTTGCTCCCTTCGCGAATCGAGTTGTTCATTTCCACGTATACGTACAATGCAGTAAGCTGGACCATCAACTCAAATGGCGCTCTTCGCGTTTGGTTGCTTGGCTGCAAAAAGTTCACGCACCCTCCGAGCAAGCCGGGTGGCGCTCAACCCTTTGATTCCGCCGCTTTTCCGACAGGGGTAGTCTCGTGTTCGCCTCCCCGGCGAGCGCACGTGCCTCGGAAAAGCGGACTCTGGTCAGCACATTGCCATCGCAGAAATAGAAAATTAATAAAAGCAAAAGATGGTTATAAATTTTTATTTGAAGAAATGAAAGCCGAATCGGATTAAAAAGACAAGAACAATTAAAAAACACTGAATTTTCTGATAAAATTTTTTATTCTATAAAATTTAGTTTTAATATCACAGATATTGAAGAAATTTTAGTTATTATTGAATATTCATCCAAATTGTTTGCTTAAAATTGCTGAAGTTCGTGGAATTTATAGGATTTTAAAATTATTTGGTCACATATTGAAAAACTTGAAGTACTTTTGAATTGTATCTGATAAAAAACGTCTCTTCCCTCGTCAAGCTGGTGGTGGCACAAAGCTGGTAAAAAAGTCAGTCGAATCAAATTCCGGAGGGCAAAGTTGGACCGAGAGCAGAGCGGCGAGAATAATGTGATGATTCGCCAGAGTTGAGCATTATTTCGCGCGCGCCAAGTTCGCTCGCTCGCTCTCGCTTTGTCCAACTTTGTGGTGAAAAAAGTGGGCACAGCAAGAGAGAGCACGTCTCGTATCCATTAGAGCCGAGAGAGCTCATTCATTCGAAGAGACGTGCGGAGCGAGGAATTCGCCCTCTGCAGATTTCCATCTTCAAGGAAGTAGCTTTGATGTGCAAACCACGGCCTTCTTCCACCGCAAAAATCGAGCTTGATTACTTAATCCGTCCGCGAACTGATTGAATTTCAATTTTGGTTGTCGGCTTATGTTGTTGTTGGGTCAGAATTGTAAATTTTGGTCCTGGCAAAATATTGGAACAAGGAAAGTCGTTAACAACTTAGTTTCAGACCGGCATCTCTTCTCCATCCAACAATAACAATCTTCGCATCTGAAATCATAAACATAAAATGTTAAAGTAATAAGTTTTTGAATTAATATTTTTGTAATAAATATTAATGTTTAATGGTGATTTGAATTTAAAGTCGACTTTTCCTCAATGGGTATTGTGATTTGTATTATTGTATATGAAAAATTCTTTTCTTTAACAATTATCACACCTCTTAAAACCCACAGAGGAATATCCGACTTTTATTTGAAATAACCATAAATTACATCTTGGTTGTTAAAGTTTTCTATTAAATTAATATTAAATAAATAATATTCAACTTCAACAGATTTAACTATCTTTTTTAATCAAATTTTTTAATATAATTAATTATTATACTATTATGTTTGTAATTTTGATTTTTATTTTTAATATTATATATTATAATAATAAATATGTTTTTTTTTTAATTCATGTAGTCTAACATATTAAATTATTAAATAAATTGTATGTTTGCTATTTAACTTCTAGTTAACTAGATTGTGCCAAGCACAAATTATTCCTTATAATCTTGGTTTGATTATTTTTTTTTTTATCAATTTTTTAGTACACTTTAATTGGCTACTAGTTGCGCTACATGGTCTGCAACGATTCATCATGATCAAGAAAATATACATAAAATAATATTTTACTTTTATGATTCTTTGTTAGTTTTGTCTTTTATTATTTTTACTTTTGGAATTTCCTTGTTGCTCATCAAATACAGGGTTGCAGGGTTGTTGTTGAAAACCAGTATATTTTTATTTTCAATAAAAATTTCAATAACTATAGACCTGTCTTTTAGTAAACGTTATTTTGGCGCATTAATGTTTCTAAAATTAACATATTCTACTAAAAATTATCTCGGCACAAGATTTGAATCTAGGAAATGTACATTTATTACATTAAATATAATTACCGAGCTTGCATTAACAATTTAAGTGGACATTCTACTCTTTGTTACTAATCCATAATTATTACAGAAGCTCTAGAAATTTTACATCAGCTGGAAATTACATATATTTTTATTTTTACAATTCAATTTTATTAGAGCAGAGAAAAAGTTGAAATAGGAATTTTGGAATCATTATGTTAAAACAAGATTAAATAATTTGTAAATATTAAAAAATTAAATGTAAGATGGAAATTCGATTTTGAGAAACCAGTTATTCTGTTCTTGAATTGAAGGGTTGCGCAAATTATCATAATGAGCAAATTCCCAGAAGCCCGTTTTCTCTCCTCTCCTCCCACGAGCAATTTTGACTAATATGCAAATTCGCGTCCATTTTTCTGGGAGGATGAATGCATTTATTAGCGAGAGCGCCGAGTGAGCGGGCGAAGCTCTCGTCTATTACAAGCGGGTGAATTATGGCGAGGGTTGGTTTTCTTGCGCGCCCCTTTGGCAGCTCCAACTCTCTCGCTCCTATAGAGGCGCTTTCACCAGAGATGAGTTCCGTCTAATAATTAATATGCGTCTGTATAACTTTGATATTAACATCAAGATGAGAGTCGGAGAAAAGTTAGTCACGCGTGATGTGCCAGATCCACAAGCGCAGTTTCTCTACACATCATGCCTTTCATCTGCGCTCCTCTCTGCCTTCTTTTCCAAACCGGCTTTCAACAAAATTCAATAAAAAAATAAAATAATAAGAAAAAATTTATACAGTTGTAACCAATTTTTAATTTTTAGAAGTATTTTAAGTATATTAATTTCATCTGTGTTGCTGTAAAAAAATTCCTTTATTTTTATAGGATATTTTTAGTTGCTATTCTTATTTGTTTAAAGAAATTTACACTTTAGGAGATAATAATATAATCATGGATCAAGACCACTTCCATTATTCTTAGTATTTTTAAATATTTATTTTTTTAGATAATTAAGTTATTATAATTATTTCTTCGATATATATATTTTTAAACTTTAAATAGAAACTGATTGTCAGTATAAATCAAATCCTGGAGGAAAGCCGCTTATCAATAAGTAAATTCCAGATCTCCTTTGCAAAAGCGACTCGGAAACCTCAGCCAGCATAAGAACGAGGGTGAGCAAAAAACTGCCGAACGCGTGCCCTGGCCTGGCGTGCGCTATACGTGGTGGCAAAAAAAGTTGTGCAAGGTCTTTGAGTGCGGTCAGAATTGTTGAATGGAAAAGCACATGAAAGGAATTCGAGCGCCTGCAGCGCAAGAGAAAAAAGTGCCGACCTCTGACTCGAGAGGGTAGAACGCGCGTTTTTTGCCACTTTGATAAATAATAAGTAATGCGATCAAGGAAGGGGTCTCAGTCTTAATAAGGCGACTTATACCTGTTTAATTCTCGTATGTTGGTGACAAAAAATACCATTCTCATCTCATCAAAAGAGGTGCAGACGGGAAATTGCATTAAAAAATCCTTCAACGCGACAATTAATGCATCTAATTTATAAAAGGATTTTAAATATGGTGGATTGAATTTAAATTCGGCTTTTCCTCGATGGGTTTTTGTGAGTTTTTATTGTTTAAGAAAAACAATATCCTGCTTTTCTTAAACAATAAAAACTCACAAAAACCCATCGACGAAAAGTCGAATTTAAATTCAATCCACCATGAATCAACCCTCGATCGTGAACTTCTACTACAAAAAGGATTTTAAATAGTTTAAATTTTAAAATATCACTTATTAGCTAAAAATTAAATGTAAAGCATAGAATAGGTCAGTTCCACAGACATTCAAATCATTAATTTAATCATTATAAAATGAAAATATCTTAATTTTTTGAATTATTTTCAAATATATATGGTAATTAATTTATTATTTTTCTTTATTGACTTATGAGACGTCGCTAAGATGTAATTAATTAATCTCTGCGACGCGCCTCTATAGGCTGGAACTTAATTAATTATTATTTTATATAAAAAAAAAATAAAGCGTAAATATATTATTTACAAAATGATTATTATTTAGGGAAAATTTGAAATAAGTAAAAATTGTTTATTAGATTTCACACTAGATTTACACAAGATTTGATTGACAGATCTAACTTCTAGAATGATTTATTATATTTTAAAGCAAAAGACAAACAAAAAATGTAACGAAATTTATCCCTTGATTCTTGTAAATTGTGTTTCTCGTCAACAATAATAAATTGTAGTTTTCTCTATTATTTCAAAAATATAAAAGTGTGAACTGGATTGCAAAAAGTTTTAAATATTAAATAACCTCCTTTTGTCGCAAATAATGACAAAAATTAAATCGTCTTTTTTGCATATGCAATTTTTTACTGTTTAAGGTCAAATTTTTTTTAATTACAAAAATTTCATTTTGACTCGATTGCTTTTTAAAACCGTTTAAACTTAAATATGCTCTGAAATTAACTTTCAAATGTATATTTAAATTCAAAATTCAAAATTCTGATTGGCAAAAAGTGTAAAAGTTTTGATATTCCCTTTCAACCCTCGAGCGCTCCTCTCTCTCTCCAGCATATCATCACCGTTGGTGAAGCGGCGAGGCGTGCGCGTAAGAAAAGCAATTGGGCAGCGGAGCGGCGGCTCTCGGGTCTGTAATTCCTTATTGAAAAGTTTGTAATCACGGCTCAAGCAGAGCGAGAGAGTGGCCGCTTCGGCTGCGATGCTAATAAATTCCTGTGGTTATTCAAAACTCGAATATTAAACTGAGAACCGGCCGGCCGCTCTCGCACGCTCCGAACGTACACATAAAGTTGAAGTAATTTTGAGAGTCTAAACTTTGTTATTGCTTTGCTTGAATGCTGCACGTATTCTTATTCGATGGATACGGCAACAAACTTTGGCCGAGCAGTTAGGCCAACTCGATCCGACCGACCGCTCTGTCCGCCCATGCAACGAGCTAATTTGATCAAGCTTGCGGCTCTTAATGATCACAACTTCTCCTTTGCGCGCAAGGAATGTTATGAGACGAATTCCGCACTCGGCCACTACATCTCAATTACACTTTATATAGTTTTCGTCCGTCCTGCGCCGCCGGCCAGTTTTCCTCTGTGATTATATATACAAATATCGACGAAAAAGTTTTTCAATTTCGAAAGTTTTTAATAATTTTGAATCCATGCAGGTAACACGAGAGAGGCGCTGAAAAATTAATCGGCGCAATCCAACTTGGTGTCTGCAGGCGAGAAAAATTAGGCGCGCGCGAAAAATTGCTGCAGCGCGTCCAGTTACGAGCCAATTAGGCGCTCGCCGGGTTCTTTTTCCTTGGCTGATGCGCTAATTAGTTCTGTTGGCCAAGTTAATTACCTTGCCGCTGCTCGAGAGCGAGAGAAGCGGCGCTGATTTCTCCAGGGACCCGTGTGGGCCAAGTGGCCAATCACGCGTCTACGACTGAACGCATCAAGGAAGAGCGCAAAACTCCTTTTGCGGTTTGAGATGCACTCCAAGAAGAGGGAGCAATGAGAGCGTGCATGTCCGGTAAAGGATATAAATTATAACCCTTTTTAAAAGAGCGTAGATAAATATTGCAAATATGCTGAAAACATTTTGACATATTAATTTATATTTATATTTTTTTTTTATAATCATATCTATTTTTTATTATACTGTTGTATTTTGCATCTAATTTTATTTATAGTTTTTTAGGTTTTTTATTAAATTTATTTAATTTTAAACTTTAATTACATGTTTATTTTAAATATAACATTTATTTATTGACACTTTTAATTCAATATTTAATTTTCTTAAAAAAAAGTCTAATCCAACATTGTAAGCAAATCATCTTGGTAGGAAATACAAAATCTCATTTCTGTTGCTCAAAAGGCTCATTGTAAATTATTTAATTATATACATGATTCTCAAAGGAAAATAAAAATTAAAAAAAAAAAACATTTTTTCTACAAAAGATTGAATAAATAAAGAAATCTGTGGATGAGTTTTATATAAGGATTAAATAAATGGATATATATTTATTTTTGACCATTTTTATGATACATTTAAATAAATAATATTTTTTTAAATCCCCGTTGAATCAAATTTTTAATTTTGAAACAAAATTAAAAGACTTTTTTACAATATATATG